CCTTGTCAGCATGAACTTTACTGTCTATATTTCTATGAACAGTTTAGTCACGACCGTATAACCAGTCTCTAAGAAATTCCAAACTTTCCCTCCTCTTCCAATTTTCTTCTGAGCCTTCCAAACTCTTCCAATTCTCTGCCCAGTACCAAGTTCCAAATCCGCTTCCACACTTTCAGGTATCTTTAGAGCAATATCCTACTCCTTGGTACCAATTTTCTGCATTAGTTCATTTTGCATCGTTATAGAGGAATACGTAGGGCTGGGTTGTTTATAAAGAAAAGAGGTTTATTTGGCTCATCGTTCTACACGCTGTACAAGAAGCATGGAACCAATGTCTGCTTCAAACGAAGGCCTCAGGCTGCTTCCACTCAGGGCAAAGGGCAAGGATAACTAGCAGTGCAGAGATAACCTGGTGGGGTGGGAGGAGAGGGACTAGAATCCCTTTAACAAGCAGTTCTTGCTGGTAATAATAGAGAATGCACACATCCCCAAGGGAAGGCATTTATCTATTCATGAAGGAACTACCCCCAAGGCCCAAACACCTCCCACGAGGCCCTACCTCCCACCACCACCACATGGGGGATCAAAATTCAACATAAGATGTGGTGGGGACAAGCCATATACAAACCATAGCACCTGCCTTTGAAAACATAAATCAAATTACAGGTACTTCTCCATTCAGAAGCCTCCAGTGATTTTCATCTCATCCAGAAGCAAGCCCTAAATCTTACCATGCCCTACAAGGCTTGGCCATCTCCTGTCCCACATATCACAGCCACAGCCACACTGGCAACCAGTACAAGCCCATCTTGAAGCTGTTGCACTTGTGGCACCCCTGGAGCGCACAGCTTTGCTTTCAGCCACCTCCGGGGTTTGCTTCCTTGCTTCAGGCAGGCTTATGGCTATCCATCCAAACAGCATCCTCACACCCCGCCTCAGTCCTCTCCATGTCTCACCCTGTCTTACGGGTTGAATTGTGTCCCCTAAAAAGATACGCTCAAGTCCTAACTCCCAGGTATCTGTGAATGTAACCTCATTTGGCAGTGGAGTCTTTGCAAATGCAATCAAGTTAGCATGAGGTCATTAGGGTAGGCTCTCCTCCAATAGAACTGACGTTCTTAGGAGACAGACACACACACACACACACACACACACACACACACACACACACGAAAATGCCACGTACAGACAGACACAGGGAGAAGATGGTCACATGGCAACAGAGGCAGAGATTGGAGTGATGCAACTGCAAGCCAAAAAATGCCAAGGGATTGCTGACCACAACCAGAAGCTAGTGGAGGCACGGAAGGATTCTACCCAGCCTCTGAGAAGCTGTGTGGCCCCTGCTGACACTGACTTTGGACTTCAAGCCTCTGGACCATGAGCAAACAAACTTCTGTGGTTTTAAACCTCCTATTCCATGGTACTTTGTTATGGCAGCCCTGGGAACCTAATAGACCCTGATTAATGATTCTCGATGCCACTTACCACTTCCCGAAATTGTATCTTTACTTCTCTATTTTCCTCTGCATTCGATTATGAGCACCACAAAGAAAGCGTTTTAGAATCTTGTCTAGGTTTGAAAACCATCAATCCTCTCACCACCGCATCTCTCTAATGCCCTCAAACTTGTCTCTTCCTGAGTTTTAAGGATCAGAAATTGTTTTTTGTATGTCAGACATGCCAGCCAAGATCCTGAATGCTTCAAAGCATTCATTATTTGCATCATAAACAATAAGGAATTTTAGAATTCTTTTTTCATTAAAACATTTCTGTACTCATTTTTACTCTGGTTTTTTTTTTTTTTTTTTTCTCAAGAATAAATGAAGACATGAAAGTGTCACAGGCTCCTGGTTAGAGGATCATCCTCATTGTGTCTCTGTCCTTACCTTCTTGGGGATCTGGCTATATTGCCCTCAGACCATAATGAGTGTCTTTAGTCCTCCCAGAAAGAAACCCCTTTCACCAGATACAAAATAAACCCAGGTTACTGAAGATCAGATTAGCATGGATCAAGGTTCTCATGGTGTTCAACAAAACAGCAGTGACAAATCAATATTAACACTTCAGTGTTTGCTCCTGACATTCAGCAAAAATATGTAGGTAATCAAGAGTCAGGAAATACTTGTGATTTTATACTTTTTAATGTGAAAATAGAAGCACCCTGTTAATAAACTCTGTGGCATGTATTCCATATAAATGCTGAAAATCGGGTGCTATGATCGACGTCTCAAAGTAGAATCTTGGATGATTACCTGTTTTCATCCCTCATTTTTATGCCACAGAATATTATGGGCCCTTCCAGCTACCCCTCTTCATGAGGAGAAAGAACATTACTTCCAAAAATATAAAGAATTTTGTAATTGGGAACAGCAAACTCCACTGGGTCAGGCCAGATGTTCGCCCCCATACACACTTGTAGGGAAGTCTTTTTCTCTCAGAAGGCTGTCTTTGGCTAGGTGTGGTGGCTCACACCTGTAATCCCAGCACTTTGGGAGGCCAAGGTGGGTGGATCACTTGAGGTCAGGAGTTTGAGACTAGCCTGGCCAACATGGCGAAACACTGTGTCCACTAAACATATAAAAATTAGCTGGGCATGGTGGCGCATGTCTGTAGTCCTAGCTACTCAGGAGGCTGAGGCATGAGAATTGCATGATCTGGGAAGTGGAAGTTACAGTGAGCTGAGATTGTGCCACAGCATTCCGGCCTGGGTGACAGAGCAAGACTCCATCTCAAATAATAATAATAAAAACTCTTTTAGATGTGATCAGAAAAACTAAAAGGCAGTGACACAGTTGAGTCGTGGGCCTTGTGTCTGTAGTTTGTGCTTTGGGATGGCCCTGCAGGCAGGATATTCCCAACCTGCCAATCAGAAACCAGCACTGGAAGGGACTCCTGTGTAATCCACTCTCCTTAGTAGCTCCTGGCCACAACTCACAACACAACTAAAAACCGAAAACCATTCTTACTAGGTTTAGCCAAACGGTTACATAACTTAATGAGGCACTATATGTTCACTATTTCATCCATAAATGGTCCATACATTATAGATGTGTGTACTTTTGTTTCATTTTTATTTTTATTTTTTTGAGAGGGAGTCTCACGCTGTTGCCTGGCTGGAGTGCAGTGGTGCGATCTCAGCTCACTGCAACCTCTGCCTCCCGGGTTCAAGCAGTGCTCTGCCTCAATCTCCCAAGCAGCTGGGACTACACGCACCCACCACCACGCCCGGCTAATTTTTGTCTTTTTAGTAGAGACGAGGTTTCACCACCTTGGTCAGCCTGGTCTTGAACTCCTGACCTCGTGATCCACCTGCCTTGGCCTCCCAAAGTGCTGGGATTACAGGCATGAGCCACTGTGCCAGGCCAGATGTGTCTACTTTTATAAACAAAATCTCAGTGCTATTATCACCTGAAATTTATCAACGATTTCTTATAGTCTGTATTCTGCTTTCTCCAATTGTCTCATAAATGCTTATTGTTTGTATGGATTACACTTAAAGAAATGGTAATTTATTTAGGCAGATGTTTGTAATAAACTCACATGGGCTGGGAGAGATCCAGGAGGCAGAATGGAAGCCACTTCCTGAGCCTCTAAGACCGGCAAGTTGGGTATAAACAAAGGAACAGCTGATTTGAAAATATTTTGCCTGGCCATCTCCTGTCCTATTCAAAAAATGATACTACAAATTACATTTCTGCTTTTTCAGCAGTGGCATACAAGGGCCTGCCAGGAGCATTTTAATATTGCATTTTACAAACTGAACTCATGCCAACTTCTCTCTGGGCAGAATTAAGTGTTACTCTCCCAATAGAAGCTCTGCCTACGTTTTATTAAGCAAGGCTCCAGGCTGAAGGATCCTCATTCTCAACTTCAAGTCCTGCAACAATCTTGGAATTTGGAAACTACAATGCGGTATTTTTTTGGTAAATGTTGTAGTTTCCTAGGAAAGAAAGGAACTCGTCAGGATGAAGGAGTGGATAAAAATGTGACCCAGGTTGAGCTGGCTCCAGCATGAAGTTGCATAACAGCAAAAGCTACTTTTCCACTAAATCTAAGCAAAAATTGTGCTGTAGCCCAGGAATTTCAAGAGAGGCTTGAGGATACTAGGATGTACCCAGATAAAACATGTACTGTACAAATAACACCCACGGAGTGAACAGAACAAACAAAACACTTAAACGCTAACAATAATGTATAATACACACCACAGTAATACACACCCAGACACACAGAAAACCGACACCTGACCCTGTGGTCACGAGTGTGCACGACAGGGTGGACCCAGGGCAGGTACAGATTCAAAAACGCGCAGCGGTCATGGTCGCATATGCTGTACCAAAAAAATAAAAAATAATAATAATAAAAAAAGCATTTTCTTCCCCCTTTCCCATCCAATTAGATAAATACAACAAGCCATGGGGCTTTCATTCGTTTTGAAGTTTCATACACTGACATTTTTGTTCGAAGATCTAGGCAGATCTTGCAGGATTCACTCCCAAAGTGGTAGACAAAACTCACCCAGGACTGCGAGGGGAGGGGGAGGTCACCTGGAACTCTACAACGGAATCAGCGACTGCCGTGCTTAGGTGGCACCCGCTCTCAGCAGCAGAGGTCTCAGCCACGCCGCCGGGAAGTGGAAGCGATCCAAGGCTCCCGCGCCACCTCCCAGACCGACACGTTGACAGTGGGGGCTGGACCAGGCGCTGGCTAGGGATGCTTGATTCGCCCGGAGGTGGGGGGCTTGGAGAGGTCCTGGTGGGCTCCTAAGGGTAGGGGTAGCTGCCACCTCCCCTAGAGGGCTCTCCGGGAAGGGAAAGAGTGGGAGGAAAGGCGACCCCACTACAAGAGGGCAGGTGCACCGGGCAGGCAGTGGCGCGGGGACTGAGCCACCGAAGGCCGAACGTTAGAGCAAGAGCTGGCAGGAGGGCGGCGGGGGCTTCGGGTCCCGGCTAAAGTCAGGGCACAAGCTAGGTGGCCCCGCGCCCAGAGTCACTTACCATCCTCCAGCGCTTCGTGCACCAGCAGTAGACCGAGCAGCAGCCAGACCTTCATCTCGCGGACCTCGGACCTCGGCGCGTAGGAGCGCGGCGGCTGCGCGGGGCCGGGGCGCAGGGGAGGCGGCGGGCGAGGGGCGGGCTCCTGGGACGCTGCAGCGGGAGGATTCGGTTTCTTGAGGAGGAACACAGTTTGGGGGAAAAAGTTGGGAAATTTTTTAAAAAACATTCCCTGTGTAATGTGACTTCTCCTGCCCCCTGGCGGAGCCGCGGTGCTCAGCGCTTCTTCCCAGCGCGAAGAGGAAAGGCTAAGGGCGAAATGTGAATTACAACAGCCACCCCTTGAATTTCTCCAACGCTGGGCGTTTTCACCGAGGTTATCAAGTTCAAGAAGGACCAGCGGGTGCTGACGGGATCACGTTTAACCACGACTGTCCAAATGTCACCGGCCCTCACCCCCACCTCCTCAGGCACAGCCTGAGTCCTCTGTAAAAAGTGCTTCGTAAATATTTCTGTTCATTCCGTTTCTCTCTCCCACGAGCATTCCACTCACAGGACGTTGCCCTGGGTTCTTGCTGCTCCTCTGTGGCCCGAGTTGGGCTCTGCATCCAGCCCCGTAACTGCTGGTAGGGGTGGGAGGACGGAATCATTACAGGAATAACGTGGAAAATGAGACTGCGCAGACAACTTGGGCTGTGGTGGTGAGGCAGGAGAATAGGGAATTAGGGTAAGCACGGCTAGGGTATAAGCAGGAGAACAGCAGGTGCAGCCAGTTCGCAGAAGCAAAAGATCAGCAGGTGCAGACAGTTCTAGGCACGATTAGGCGGCACACAGGCCACATCCTCGCTCCTCTGATATCAAGGCAGAAGTTTCCACTTTAGCCTCTGATTGGTGGCAGGCCAATCCTTCGTAGGGTGTAACCAGTTGGAGGCCTCTAAAGGGAACCCAGGGGTGTTGCCAAGTTCTTTTCGCTTTATAAAATCCCTGGGGACCATCGGCTTCCTGCAGCGCACTCTGAATTGTCTTCTATAAATCTACGCTTTCCTTCCTCCCTTCTGTTGCTTTGTTTTTCCTTGCTTCTTTCTTTTGTTACTCTGCATTTTGTTCAATTCTTTGTTCAACAGGCCAAGAACCTGGACAACTCTGTTAGGTAACAGTGGGGCAGGGGATTCAGGCTTTCTCTCTGGGGAGCCCCTCTGCAGAGAGCCATCCTGCGTTTCTGAGCTTGCAGACTCATATGATCAAAGCAGTTTGCTAGCGGGGCAGATGTCGGTGTGTGCTCCCGCTGGTGAGAAGCAGCCCATCTCATTGTGATCTTCAGTACCAGGCACTGCTATTAAAGAGAGATCAATTCTGACTATCAGGAAAGGGACTTGTCCCTCAACACCCAAGGAAAGAAGTGCTGCCATTTACAATAAACTAATGCTTCTCAGTCACTTCTGCAAGAGGAACCAATAGTTCTACATTCTGTTCCCAGCTCTAGCCCGAGCTTTGCCACTCGCCTTGTGATGCAGAGAACAATTGCCTGGGAATAAAGACCAAAGTTCAGATCTTGACACTGGCGCAAACTCTGAAAGCCTCTCACAATTCACTTAACCTTCTGGGTTTTAGCATCTCTTGTTCATTAAGAGAAGGAACTAGATGATTATTTCAACAGGAGTTTGCTATGTGATTAACCTTATGGCTATGAAGGTTAAGACATCATCTATTATGGCTGCTTTTAAGGAGTGGACAAGCATTTAGACCACTACAACACGGCGTGTCACGTTCTGGGGAGAATTCTGAGCAAAGGACTTGGAGGGTGCACACAGGAGAGGGTAAATCTGCCTAAGTTGCCCCATCCTGAGATTTCTTTTCATTCTGACCCGGTGAAATGACTGCTTCACTATCACTCCGTGTTGGACCCTGGGGTTGGGTCTAGATTACTCCTCTCAGTCCCAGTCTCCTCTCCATGCTAACTGTGCATGTGCCAGGTCCGCCTCTCTTATGCCATCTTTGTCAAGCTTGCCCTAGCTCAGCTACATTTAGCTTAGAGTGGTACCTCTTTCTCTTGCCACTTAGAGGTTCTTCTTGAGAGGCTGAGGCGCGAGAGTCATTTGATCCTGGGAAACGAGGTTGCAGTGAGCTGAGATGGTGCCACTGCCCTCCAGCCTGGGTGACAGAAAGAGACTCTGTCTCAAAATAAATAATAAATAAATAAATAAAAGCAAAGGAGAGAGGCCTCAGAGAATACCCATTCTTCTGCCACCTTGCTCTCAGATTTCTACCATTCAGAACTATAAGGTAATACATTTCTGTTCTTTAAACCACCCAGTCTGTGGCTCTTTGTTATGGTAGCTCCAGGAAACTAATACAGGGGTCTGTATTAGGATGGGAACAGAATTCATAAGAAGTATAGGGGCTTCCTGAGACATGTAGCTATTTCATCACGAGGCTTATTATCCTTGAATGAGACGATCTCAAGATGATTTTAAATTTGAAAACGAAAACTGCCAAAGCTGTATTTTTCATGGGTCTTATTTCACTATAAAAATCCACGTGCTTTGTCTCTAGGGTGAGAAAGAATTTTATTATTAGAATCTGTTGTGTTGATCTTTTCCATTCCTTTTCCAACAATTACTATAATGTTAGCCAATTAAAATAAGCATTATCTTGCAGCTCTAAATCAAATACAACTTGAAGCCTGCTTTCCCAAGGCCTGATTAATTTTTTTGTATGTTTAGCTTGTATCTGGTCACCTTAATGGACCTTCTTAGTAGCCTAAATAGTTTTCAGTTGATCCCTTGGGTTTTTAGATAAATGATCACATTACCTGTAACACCCACTTTTCTTTCTTTTCTTTTTTGTTAGGTAAGTCTCACTCTGTTGCTTAGGCTGGAGTACACTGGCACAATCTCAGCTCACTGCAACCTCCACCTCTTGGGTTCAAGTGATTCTCCTGTCTCAGCCTCCTGCGTAGCTGGGACAACAGGTGTGCATCACCATGGCTGGCTAATTTTTATATTTTCAGTAGAGCTGGGGTTTCACTATGTTGGCCAGGCTGGTCTCAAACTCCTGATCTCAAGTGATCCTCTTGCCTCAGCCTCCCCAAGTGCTGGGATTACAGGTGTCAGCCACCATGCCCGGCCATTTTCATTGTCTATTTTAATTAATGGTAGTTTTCTATGCCTACCCACGAAATCTCCCTACTCCATTGCCTTCCGTGCTTTTTATACATCCCTTTGAAGTGGTGAATACCATTAGGAATTTGTTAGGTAAGAAAAAAATCAGCCAACATTTTGGGCATCCCTTCTCCATCCCCAAGATAAGGACATGTAACTTCTTTAACTAGTCTTTGTTAACTACAGACATACAACCAAGACGATTTTTTCACAAAAATCTACTGGGGGAACTCGCCCCCAATATTTCAACATAGGTTCTTTTTATTTTCCATAAGTGTCAGCTGGCTGAGAAATAAAGAGAAAGAGTGCAAAGAGGAATTTTACAACTGGGCCGCTGGCGGTGACATCACATATTGGTAGTACCATGATGCCTACCTGAGCTTCAAACCAGCAAGTTTTTTATTAAGGGTTTCAAAAGGGGAGGGGGTGTAAGAACAGAGAGTAGGTACAAAGATCACATGCTTCAAAGGGCAGATAGCAGAACAAAGATCACACGCTTCTGAGGGAATAGGACAAAGGGCAAAAGCAGAACTACTGATAAGGATCCAACAAAGATCACAAGGCAAAGGGCAAAAGCAGAATGACTGGTAAGGGTCTATGATCAGCCGTGCACGTATTGTCTTGATAAACATCTTAAACAACAGAAAACAGGGTTCAAGAGCAGAGAACTGGTCTGACTGCAAATTTACCAGGGTGGAGTTTTTTCCCCACCCTAGTAAGCCTGAGGGTACTGCAGGAGACCAGGGCATCTCTCAGTCCTTACCTCAAGCACATAAGACAGACACTCCCAGGGCGGCCATTTATAGACCTCCCCCCAGGAATGCATTAGTTTCCCAGGGTATTAATATTAATATTCCTTGCTAGGAAAAGAATTTAGTGATATCTCTCCTACTTGTATGTCTGTTTATAGGCTGTCTGCAAGATGAAAAGTATGGCTCTTTTTGCTCAACCCTGCAGGCAGTCAGACCTTATGGTTGTCTTCCTTTGTTCCCTAAAAATTCTGTTCTTTTTCAAGGTGCACTGATTTCACATTGTTCAAACACACATTTTACAATCACTTTGTGCAGTTAACACAGTTATCACAGTGGTCCTGAGGTGACGTACATCCTCAGCTTATGAAGATAACAGGATTAAGAGATTAAAGACAGGCATAAGAAATTATAAAAGTATTATTTGGAAACTGATAAATGTCCATGAAATCTTCACAATTTATGTTCTTCTGCCACAGCTCCAGCCGGTCCCTCCGTTCAGGGCCCCTGACTTCCCACAACGAAAATCAATGCTTCGAGGTTTTAGCAGTAACAAAATTTAGTGGTTTTAAATATGGGACTCCCTGAAAACTTCATTCTGATAGAAATGCCAGACATTTTTGAGGCTCCCAGAGCCACTCAACAAGAGACATCTTAGGGTAGTGTAAGGTAAGGATCCCAGAAGCTTAGTCTACTTAAAACCAATGAAGTACAAGTAATGACCTTCCTAGCTCCAGGATGTAGCATGTTATAAAGAGGCATCACCTGTTCATTAGTTGTGAGAGCCTCTAAGTGGCAAGGGAAAGAGGGACCACTCTAAGCCAAAATGTAGAATAGGAAAATTGTGACTTGAGAGCTTTGGCCTCTTTTTTCTTTGCTCTTTCTCTTAATGGTGTCCTCCCTCTTCTTCCAACTGTCTCTGCCTATTTGCCTTCTCTTGCTTATTTGCTCTAAATGCTCTTTTTGAAAAGTATCTATTATCAGTCATTTACACTTGCATGCCAATTAAAGTCAATGGTTCTGTTTTAAGAACAATAGCATGCCAAGCCTGATTTCTACCAGAGCAGTGAAATTGTTGGTCCTTCCGTGAAACTATCAGACATCAGTGAGCAGGTAGGAAAGATTCCAGTGACTTGGAGACTTAGTCACTGGGGATGCCCAGAATCTTGAACTTTGACAATGTTGTATTATTTGTGGGCTAAGGGACTCAGAACTCAGAAACTGGCTTGGAGATTGGGGCCCACCCTGGGCTATACACTACTCCTGGGTAGTGCGGTCTCTATCCTGTGGGTTTCTCTTCCTCTTGACTGCTCCAGTCTTAATAGAGCAATAACAACTCTTTGCCCAGAGTTTATGACATCTGATACTGTGATACCTACAACTATTTAAGAGGTGGCTATCAATCTGTTACTAGGAAGGTTTATATAAGTGAGTGTTGAGCCGAGTCTCTTTCTAGTTTCACTCACACTTTGATCTACGTTCATTCACTTTGAGAGAGAGAGTCTCACTCTGTTACCCACACTAGAGTGCAATGGTGCCATCATGGATCACTGAAGCCTCAACCTCCTGGACTCAAGTGATCCTCCCCCCTTAGCCACCTGAGTAGCTGGGACTACAGGCACTCAGCTAATTAAAAAAAGACTGGAGTCTCTGCTTTGTTGACCAGGCTGGTCTTGAACTTCTGGCCTCAAGCAATCCTCCCACCTTGGCTTCCCAAAGTGCTGGGGTTACAGGTGTGAACCACTGTGCCCAGCCACTTTGACACACTTTAAAAGACAAGCT